CAACAACATAATAGATGGCAAGATCTTAGAACTTATAATTTTTCATTTTTCTTAAATAATAATTATTAATATTATACCTCGATCCACGACATATTATGTTGCTGCATCTCTTCCATCTTCTCCTTCACACTTGCATATAGTTTACTTTCAAATTTTAGTGACTGCATATGATTCATATATCTATTGCAATAAAATAAGTATCTCTGTAAAGCTGATCTGGATTTTTCTTGCGCATCCCTGGCCACTTTAGCTTCCTCTTCATCATAACGGTTACAATTGTACCAACTAGAACCATGTGGTTCCCAGGGTCCAAGACAGACCCAACAGAATTCAGTTTTACAATTCTGATTTTTGCAAACCATATGATTACAGCCGCCATCCTTTTCGATAGTGACATTACATTTTGGGCACTCTTTTGTATTAGCAGCGATCCAGTTTGACGTTTCGGAATCGTCGTCACATTTTTTAATCCATTTACGAAGTAAATGACACTTGACAGGATCATGCCAGTTTTCGCCACAATGGAAACAAAAGATATGTCCACACTTGCAAGTAACTGGTCTTGCTTCTACATATTGCACCTTAATAGCATTATTACAATCGGGCGAAGGACACCATCTCAGCAACCTATTACACTATAAAGAAGACAGATATAACAGAGACATACATAACATTTAATCAATGTTTAACTAAATTTAACAAATATTTACTTCGACAAAGCTATTGGTAATTAAGTGCTGATATTTTAATTTAACTTTGGAATCTTTGACAAGCCGCATAACACTGGCATCGTCAACTAAAATGTCACAAGCATGAGCAGCACATGCTATCGTCTGTCCGACTCCTTCCTCCATGATTTTGGTTGTCAAATATTCTCCCCAGCAACCAGTACAAAAACGATGTCCACACTCCAGACCAGTCATCATCTAACAATTTTAATTGTTTTTTTTTACATATCTTTTTCTTGTTTATTATTGTATATGCTTTTTATACTTGATATAAATGAACTTACAGAAGATGGTAGGATCATAAAACAAATTCCACATTCCTCTGTGCCATTAGTCGGTCTTTTAGGCTGTTAGATATTAGAAACATACATGTATATCTCACTGCAACATCAGTAACATAACACAATTAAAGTACATATTTACCAGGGAACTCTGGGAGGATCGACTTCTGCTTATCAAAGGGCCTTTTCTAAAAGGATTAATGACACGAGCCTCGGCAAACAACTTCTCTTGATCACCATCATAAAAACGTTCCATCAATTTTTCCTTATCCCATTTGAAGTGATTTAATAAAATACGTGTAGTGGTAGCTGGTATCTATAGAGATCAACACGAACATGTGTAAAATAGGATTCCTTCTTGTGATTTATCTTGAAAAACATATCCATAAATTATGAAGAGATTTATGAAGCTTACTTCGACAACAGTGTTGACTTCTTTTATGGAGTCAACCATGTGCTGTACAATCTCTTCTGTGGAGAGTACTTCGAAAGGATATTCATCAACATCGGTAGCTCGCTCCCGCGGATTACCGGATTCTATTTCCATGGCGAAATCGACATCATCGCCACTTGACTCATTGCCGGAGTCAACGTCGTCGTAAAGCGTTTCCTCTTCCGAATCCATTTTTGTGTGTCGGATTTGACAAGCCTCGAAACTTCTATGTCTATAATGTTTCTTCCGTTCTCTTTTTCCCTTTCTTTTTCGATTAGTAAATAACTGCACTTATTCACGTAGCATCGGGTACAAGGAGTTCGCAGAAATGTCAATCCGCACTGGATTCGGTCGAAGTGCTTCCTGTATGATTTACAATGAATAATCGTTGATCGTGGGAATTTATTTATATTTTTACGCGCGTCTAGAAAATTCGTCTGAAATCGATTTTTGTTTCTTTCTTTTTTTAGCAAACGCGAAAAACCCGACGGGAGGCGCGAGAATTTTCGTAAACTGGAGGACGCGCACCTGCCACGAGAAAACAGCTTATGTTTCAGTACGTGACGTCATCGTTCCTCTCGACGCTGCCCGAATAAAGCATCCGGAGGAAGAGGAATCGACTGCCGCGACGGCGTTTGAGCGTCTCGGCGGCGCGGATGAGCACGAGATTTTTTTCAACGTTTCTGTTATCGCGAGGGGGAGAAAGAGAGAGAGGGAGAGAGCGATGGAAAAGGGAACAAAGTCAGCTGCCAAAACATCCGAGATGAACTCCGGTAGCCAATGAGCGAAATGGCTACTCTCACGGCGGAGCGAAAACTATTCGCGCTCGGTCGACCGATTGCGAAATTTCATTGGACGGACGGTGTATGCGTGTGCACACATGCACATGTACACATAAAACAATGATTTTCGTACTGTCAGCTACGCCGAGGTCGTTCTCGATGCGAAATCAGCTTCGTCCTCGGCCGCAGCTGCGAAACGCGCGCCTAAATGCGGACGCTGTTTTTTTTTGGAGGCCGTCGGAGGAGTCTACTCTGATTTTGCATACGATATAAATACGCGCGCGAAGGACGAGCGTGTCCGTACATACGTGTATATACGTGTCGCAACTCGGGAACTCGCTAATTAGCACGCGCATTTATAATAAGGCGCGGCGACACGTTAGTTCAAGGGCAATCGATCCCGCGCGTGAGAAGAGACGCTTTAGGGACTAGCATAGGACTAAACACAGCGCCGTCCTGTTGTGGACGGAGATCCGACGAGATTTCTCCCCAAGACGAAGTTTCCCTCGTACGAACGCACAGGAGGAATCGCTGTGGGACGATAAAATTAATCGGAATCACGTACGACTGTGTACGACGTTACGCTGCTTTGCTTATCTATCTTGATGTCGTCGAGGCGCGTTATATTTGCATTTCAACGAATTTTCTATCGAGTAACGAAAACCGATGAGACAATTTTCCAAGACTGAACTTGTGAGGAATGTCGCACTCGCGAGGTTACACCATCACACAGGTCACAAAGTTAAACGAGGTCGTGTCGCGTTTATTCTCGCCCATCGCGACAGGCGCCGCGTTGTTGCGAGCAACGACAACGCACAAAGAAGCTCTGCCAGTCCGCGATCACGGAGGAACGAAAGAGGAAAGAAGGCGAGACAAAGAGCGAGAGAGAGAACGAGAGAGAGAGAAAGAGAGAGTCTCAAACGAGTCTATAGTCCGAATACTGCGATCACGCCCGCGACGACGCGCGGCATTGGATCTCTCGGTGAATAATATCAGGCGTCTCTCTGTCGTCGTCGTCGTTATCGTCGTCCTCGACGTAGAT